AGCCCCCCCGCCGCCCCGCGGAGTCCCGGCCGGTACCTGGCGCCGGCGCACCCCCGGGCTCGGCCCCGCTGCCGGACACGGCCCCCGGCGGGAGGGGGCAGGGACAGAGGGAGCCCCGGAGCCCCCGCACCCGCCCGGCCCCGCGGAGCTGCACCCGCACAGGGGCCCAGCCACGGGCACACACGTGGGGACAGCCAACCCTGGGGACACCCACCCAGGGACAGCCACTTTGGAACTCCCACCCACGGACATCCACACAGGGGTGCCCCACAAGGCACTCACAAGTTCCTTCCCCCTGGCTGAATCCTGTAGCTGGGCCCCAGTCTGTGGGCAGGAGACAGGGACAAGGACAGACCTTGGGACAGGAGCTGCAGGGGCAGGTGTGGGTGACAACCCTGGGGACCTCAGAGCACCTTGAAGTTCCACCAGTGCTTTGTTTGGTGTTTACCAGATGGGAAATCAGAAGCCCAGCACATCACTGCTCCCATGACAGCGGAAGGCGTTTCCAGGCAAGGGTGGTGACCAAGAAGAAACCAGGTGGAGCCCTTGCTGTGCCATGGCCATCAGGCTGGCCAAGGCCTCTGGAAACCCTTCTGCTCTCCCTGTGCCTCTCCATGACCACAGCAGAGCCCAAGGTCACCTTCGGAGTTTTGGAGACCAAATTGCTCTGTTTATGTGCTGCTGGTCCAGGATGTGACGAGCATGAGATTTCCCCAGCACAGCTGTGTGCCCTTGTGTGCTGTGGGGCTGGGTTGCACTGTCACCCTCCGCCAGGTGCTCAGTGGAGCCCAAGGGGATGTGTCCATCAGGGGTCCCCTGGAGAGGTGCCTTCATCAGTGGGAAGAAGAGAGAGGAGCTGCTCAGAGCAGTGGTGCCACATCCCAGCGCCTGTGATGGACAAAGTGCCACCATGGGAACCCTGTCCTGCAGCCAGCCCAGAGCCCTGCCTGCTGAGAGCCCCCTGTCTTGGGGAGCATCTCTTGGGGATGTCCTTTTTGGGATGTCCCTCCCCTGTCTTGAGCACATCCACGCTCACCACTGCCAGGCCAAGCACACGCGTGGGCATCCCCCAGGACCTGTGTGCTGCTGGGGCACAGCACCCCGAACCTCGCCGGCTCCTGCTCCACCTCTCCCCATCAAGACCTGGCTTGGTGTCACCCTGCTCCAGGGGCAGCTCTCCCCTCCCAGGCTCCGTCACCTCTGTGCTGCAGCTCCTTTGCTGCTTGCAGGCTAAAAGGTGGAAATCCCTGCATGTATTGAAAAAGCTACAAACTCCCTTCTTTTATGGGCTATTTTTGGTCTGGGAAAAGCAGGATATGTGGTGCAATAAGGGATTAAATAGCAAAAGAAAAAGGAGAACTCCTTAAATAATTTATTTTGTTGTTTCTAAATCTTCCATGACTTGAGCGGAACTGTGTCCAGATCTGCTATCGCTGCATTAATGTCAAGGCAGCGGGGCTGGCGAAGCACAGGTGGGTGTGGGGAGCCGTGGCAGCACCTCCCACCCCCTGCAGGGTCACTCCGGGCAGGGAGCACCCCCGGCCTCCTCACAGCAGGCTGGCTCCTGCCCGCTGTGCACCACGGCCACCCCCGGGAGGGAGGGCTCATCGTGCCCTCTGCGCCCTCTGCACCGCGTGGGACAGACCCGACACCCCCCGACACCCCCGCACTGCCCGGGCTGTGCCAGCCACGGTGCCCCAGCAGGACCGTCCTCCTGAGCAGCCTGCTTATGCTCCCACCTTTGGGAAAATGCTGGTTTAGTCTTCCACCGAATTGAGACAAGCGGGAAAGGGTCCCTGCGCTCAGCCACCCCCCACCTGCCTTTGCTCCCTGGACTGGTAGTGTAGAAGCAACTTTGGAAAAATTCCATCGGGTGCCTGAGCGGAGCGTGGAAGGAGCCTCAGTCCCAGGGCAAGCCCAGCCTGGCATCCCAGAGAGCTCCCGGCTGATGGGGAGTAAGGAGCCTCTGGGATGAGGGGCCAGGGAAGGGGCTGTGGTGCATCTCCCTGTCTTTCTCACTCGCGGCTTGTCCGTGCTGAGCCCTGCCCGGGCTCATTGACATGATAATACTGCTAAACTTCAGCAATTTGAACAACAATCAGCCAACAAGAGCCTGAGGGGGAACGCTGGAAACCCAGGGGGATTCTGGGAACCCCCAGGGTGATGCTGGAAATCCAGGGAAAGCTGGAACTCCCAGGGGAAGCTGGAATTCCCAGGGGAAGCTGGAATTCCCAGGGGAATGCTTGACACCTCAGGGGGATGCTGGAATCCCCAGCCAGTCTCCCAGGCATGGACACTTCCCAGACTGGACTCTCTCCACCCTCTGCCCACCCTCTGATCTTCAATCTGCATTTTTAGCAAGGCAAATTGGACTTGTGCTTGGCTGTGCTGGGTGTTTGCTGCCACCCTGCCCTTGGGGCTACTGCTCCAGCAGCAGGTCCTTCTCCCTGCTCAGGGCCACTGGACCTGCTTCAGGCTGGGATTCCCCCAGCAGGACTGGTCCTGGGAGCTGGGCTCCAGCTGGAGCCCCTCTCCTGGGCACTGCAGTCCCTCATCTCCTCCTGTCCCTTCCCACAGGGTAGCTCTGCTCTGTTTCCTTCCTGGAAGCCGTAGGGCAGCACAGACCCTCTCAGCAGGCACTCTTGTACTGCTGTACCCTTTCCTCTCTGATGTTCCTCTAAATTTACATCTCTGGACATGACAGGAGGAGTGTGGGGACACCAGGAGCTCACACAGAAAAGCAAACACTCCGGGGTCAGGGGGTCCTGGGCTGCACTGGGAGCTGTCACAGACCTGGCCCAGAGCTGGGCTGCCCAGTACAGGAGTCAGGGACAGACTGGACAGAGTCCAGCACAGGCCCATGAAGGCGATGCAGGGACTGGAGCACCTCTGCCATGAGGAGAGGCTGAGAGAGCTGGCACTGCCCAGCCTGGAGCAGAGCAGGCTCAGGGCATCTCATCCCTGGGGATAAAAACCCAGGGAGAGGCTGCAGAGGAGACAGGGCCAGGGACAGCTCCAGGGGGCTCAGGCACAAAGTGACACACTGGGCCCTCCGAGCTCAGGAGACACTTCTGCACCGGGAGCAGCTCTTCTAGACTGATCAAAAGGTTCACCTAACTTGGTGTTTCCCTGTCCCAAGTGAACACTTCTGAAATGGATGTCTTTATTTTGCTGCTATTTAATACCTTTGAAACTAAACAGGTCAGGTCCAACTGCTGCCTCTGCTGTTTCTGATGCAGCCCAAGGACAGTTGACTTTGTGGGCTGCCAGTGCCCATGGCCAGGTCACATCCAGTTTGTCACCACCAGCACCCCCAAGTCCTTCTCCCAGGGCTGCTCCCTGCCCAGCCAGCCCCAGCCCGTGCTGGTGCTGGGGCTGCCCTGACCCAGGTGCAGGACCTTGCACTTGGCCTGGCTGAACTCCAGGAGGTTCACGTGAGCCCAGATAGTTTTGGAGTTTCATAGATTCATCAAATCCCAGAATGGTTTGGGTTTGAGGGGGCCTTAAAGCTCATCTCATTCCTCCCCCTGCAATGGGCAGGGACACCTTCCACTATCCCAGGGTGCTCCAAGTCCTGTCTAACCTGGCCTTGGACACTTCCAGGGGTGGGGCAGCCACAGCTGCTCTGGGAAGCCTGTGCCAGTGAAGTTTATTTACTCTTCCCATAAATACCTCAGTGTCCAATAACAAATTTGTTCTGCTTTGCTGCTTCAGGGTTGAAAGTCCCACGGTGCCACCACAGCCATGGCAGTGAAGAGGCAGCTCAGACCCAGCAGTTCTGGCAGCTGCTTGAGGCAGCAGCTCTGACAGCCCCAGGCTGGAGCCTGTGGCAGCTCCCAGCTCGGAGCAGCAGTGAGTCCATCCCACTCCTGGCACTGCGAGGATCTGGGCTGCTCACACAGGGGGATGGATCCCCTGGGCTCAGAGGGGCTGAGCAGCACTCCTACATGCAGCTGCCCCAGGAGCCAATCTGTCCACAGCTCCAGCACCAGCTCCTCTGCCCCAAAGTGATGTCTGTGGGTGTTCACTCTGTTGGGTGTCCAAGTGAAGGTTTTACAAAGCATCCAGGCCTCCAGAAGCCTTCAGGCTGGGAATTCTCTCTGGCTGTGAGAGAACTGTAGCTTTTCTCTGGCACAGCAGTGAATCAGGGAAGAAGCTTGGTACCCATGAGGCTGGAGGTGGGCTGGTTTGGGGCTGCTGCTGCAGAGCACAAGCCCTGACCCTGGCGATCACAGGTCACCCTTTCACATCTGACAATTTGCTTTATTTTTCCTGGTGTTGGTAGTGCCTGCAAAATAGGAGCACTGAGACCAAGGAGAAGCTTTTCACTCATGGATCACCTCCCCGCTGAGAGAGCAGCACCTGGGGCCTGGAGTGTCTCTGAGGCCTCTGAGCCCAGCGTATGCCCATGGAGATCCCACAGACCCTACCCAAGCACTGGTAGCATCTCTGCCGTGCACTATGCCCTCACCAGGTTTTGTAGGTTTGTCCCCCCATTTTAAATAAGGAATTGCTGGAACTCATGCCTCCCTCCAGGGCAGCCTTCTAGCAGCATTTTCAGACCACAGCTTCATAAGGTGGGAGCGCCCCATGCTCCCACATCCTTGTCAGGGAGGTGAAAAATAACCAAACCAAGGGGACAAAGCTCCTGCCCATTTCTTATCCTCTCTGTCTCTTGCTCCCCCACCCATGCAGGGTGACACAGAAGGGTGGCCAAGCCCTTGAGACCCTGGGCCAGGTGATGTGGGGAGCATGGCTGGCACCTTGCCAAGTGTCTCTCAGCCCATCCTGACGTAGGGGCTGAGCAGAACGACCTTCAGCCCACCAGCTAAGG